GCCCCTGAGCGTTCCTTCCCGCACTGTCCCGTCGCCCCGAGTTCGTCAGCTCGCAACGTAGCCTACCCTTGACCCCAACTCGGCCGAGTCACGCGCAGCAACCCCTAGAGCGGCACAGAGCAAGCATGCGCCTGTGCGTGTGCACGCACATTAAACAAAAACAACTATCTGGCTGTCGCCTGCTGATGCTAGTTCTAATTACTGGCGAAACGTCGTACCCGAATGGTAAATGTTGTGGGTTTACTCTCCAACACGCCGGTGTGCATGCTGCACTCATCACGAATTGGCATGTTTTGTTTACGTGACAAACCTTAGCAATCGGTTGTGTCGGGTGGTGGCGGGTTTAACGACACATTTATATATTCACGCGATTTAGCCCCCATTAACCCCCCCCCCCTCCCTCTATTATGGATATTGGTCGCGAAATCCCCCATAGAGCCGTTGCAGGGCCGAGTGCTCTTTGCACGAGGCTCTGGTCGGTCCCGTAGGCGCACTGGGCTAACCACCACGCCATCGCTCCACACACACACACACAAAGACAAAGATCCCCCGTATAGCCTTAAACAGACTGCAGGGGCAAGTGCTGTTAGCGAGCACCCAACACACGCGCGCACATACACGCATGGACGCACAGCAGCGATTGGATTGCGCACACAGCAATTGCACGGCGCGTTAACGGTACAGCATCATGATCCATGGACAACACAGTGCACACACAGTGCAAACTGTTGTCCATGATGCAGACACGCGAGTTGTGACGCCGAACGTCGGTTTTTTAGTTTCCCCCGTGGCACACCGCGGGGGAAGCGCGATACGACGACGTACGGGGAAGGTAAAACAAAAAAAAACGAAGTGGAAGACAAAGAATAGGAACTAACGGTGAAGGGAAGGCAATGAAACGGGGAGAACGCGAGTAAGAGGCTACAAACGGGTATCGAGGCTGCTGCATGGATCGGCGTCTGTTTTCACGGCGGGGGGGGGGGGGGGTTTAGAGTTGGGGGGGGGTGGTGGTGGTGGTGGTGCCACAGATGAGAGTCGTGATTCACGGGAGGATTCAGCCGATACGGATGCAGTCTTGAGATTTGTGAGCCGCTTGCTGTAAGATGGCGCGCGGACGTGGGGCAGAGAGTCCGGAGGTGAGGAATTGCCGCCACCCGCCGTTGTGTCGCAGCAATTGCAGGTTTGGTTGTTGTTGTTGTCGTGGGGAGCGGTGGTGCAGCGGTTAGCGCTACGCTGCGCTACAAACCCGGCGACCCGGGTTCGATTCCCGCTCACGGCCAACACCGGTGACGATTATCTGAAGCGGTCCTAGGCCTCCCTCTAGGTCGACTCAGCCTCAAATGAGTACCTGGTGCGGCGCTGGTCTTTTTCTTCTCACACAGCTTAAAGGTCGTGATATAAGCGTGGCTTCTTCCACTCCAGCGCTGTCCTCCAGACAGTCTCGTCCCTTCACCTGATGAAGGCCGCTTGTGTTGTGGCCGAAACGTCGTGATTTTTTGTTATTTTATTTTCACCTACGTGACTTTACCCAATAGAACCAAAGAGTATGGATCCTAGCAGTCACGAAAGCTTTAAATCTAGAAGAGACAAAGGCGGTCGGGCGTGATGCTGGCGACCCACCCCCTCGTGTACCCGTTCCGGCCTTCATAGGTGCTCGCTAACAGCACTTGCCCCTACAGTCTGTTAAGGCTACACGGGGGATCTTTGTTTTTATCTTTGTTGTCGCTGTGGCGGTTCCTTATCATTGGAGCGGAGGCGCAGTGGTTAGCGCACTGCTTGCCTGAACCGGGCCACCTGAAGTCGATTGTCGGGCACAGCTAACATCAGTGGCGAGTGAAATCCGAAGCGGTCCTGGGCCTGCACCCCCCCTGCCCCCCACCCATCAACTTCACGAAACCGCAGCGACCAGCGTTGTGAAGTATGGTCAAATACTTATTGATCACACACAGAGAGGTTACGCGCACTTAACGCACTCTTAGAAACATGGCCAAAGGCGTGGATCTTGATTTGAAGCTTTCGTGACTGCAGGAATTCATACTCTTTGGTTCTTTCGGTAAAGTCACGTAGTAGGTAGAAATTAATAGATCACGACGTTTCGGGCGCAACACAAGCGTCCATCATCGGGTGGGAAAGCGATGGTCTGCTGCTGAGGCAGACTGTTTTAAAAGGTTTGAAATGGGTGTAGCCAAAGGGTCATTAAGAAGTGGCCAGGGCTAGTGATGTTAATGTGAGAAATTAGCATGTAACTGTAAAATAGGAGAGAGGCCTCCTCAACGAGGACACGGAAGTGGCTATGTTAATGTGAGGGATTGGCATGATGTGAATGTGAGAAATTGGCATGTAAAAGTCAGCCAAGGGCGTAGATGCTCCGTGCAGGCTGAACAGACTGTTGGGGCAAGTGCTGTTAGCGTGCACCTGTGTAGGCCGGAACGGCACACGAGGGGGCGGGTGGCCAGCACCACGCCCGGCCGCTTTTGTCTCCCTAGTGGCGAGGTTTTACACACCGCACCAGGTCTTCACTTGAGAGTGAGGTCGACTTAGGGGAAGACCCAGGGCCGGTTCAGATCATCGTGACCAGTGCCGAATTAAGCTAGTGCGGGGCCTGTAGAATATGTTATGAAGGGGCCCGAAATAAAAAAAACACAGATAAATATTACAACACGTACATTTTTAACTTGCACTGTAAAGTGATTGTATTTTTTTATTTGCTATACAGCCAGATAATACGACAAATCGCTAACCTTAAACAACCAGTCGTTCATAAAAGTTGAAGGCGGTATAGTACTATAGTAATAGAGCAAGTGCAGAATCACTGAACCGGAATTGTGATAGCTTGAAAGCATTTAGCGCGGGGGAGCCTTGAAAGTGCGGGGCCCGTAGCTACTACATATGTAGTAGTAGTAGCTACTACATATGTAGTAGTAGTAGCCACTACATATGCAGCTACTTTTGCTACTACGATAATCCAGCACTGATCGTGACCGGTGTTGGCCGTGAGAGGGAAACAGAGCTCGGCTCGCCGGATTCGCAGCGAATCGCAGCGCTAACCCGCTTGCACTACGCACACAAAAACCCCGACACTGAACTCGGAGGACAAGATACCCTCCGCCCTGTCATTCCTACGTGCGCTGTTGGGGAGCAAGTACGTGCAAGCCGCCTATGGAGGTGGTGGTGTGGGCCAAGACCACATTCGCATTTTATCTCCCCAGTGATGATATGATTTACTACACACCGCACCTCATTCGAGGCTGAGTCGACCTAGAAGAGGTCCAGCACCGGTCCAGATGTTGGCCACTGCTGTCGGTACACGCACAGAGACAAAAATCCCCCGTATAGCCTTTAACAGACTATTTGGGCAAGTGCAGTTTAACGAGCGCCAATGAAGGCCGGCACGGCACACGATGGGATGGGTGACCAGCACCACGCCCGACCGCCTTCGTCTCCCCAGTGGCGATGTCTACTACGCACCGCACCAGGTACTCGTTTAAGGCCGAGTCGACCTAGAAGAGGTCCCACGGGCAGACGCAGATCGTTGGCCACTGCTCTCGGGACACGCACGTGGCCGGCTTCACGTGGAGCCGCAAGGCGGCGGTAGTGACACGCGACTGGAACCGCGCTGCGCTGCTCATCAGCTCTCAACGTCAAATTGCTCGTGGTCGTTCGAGACCCGGCCCCACACGGGTTCGAGTCCCGTTCACGGCCAACACCGGTGGCGAATAACTGAACCGGACCCGGGCCTCCCTTGGTTTCGACTCGGTCTCAAATTAGTGCTGTACCTTGCGCGGTGTGTATGAACGCGCCAGCACTGAGGATAGAAAAGCGGCCTGGCGTGGTGCTGGCAATCCACCCCCTCGTGTACCGTGCCGACCTTCATTAGGTGTTCGCAAACGGCACTTGCCCCAAAAGCCTCTTAAGGCTTTAAGTGGGCATCTTTGTCTGTGTGGCTGTCCATAGAGACGCGGCACGGACGCGACCCTTATGTGTGTATGTTGCGTGTGCTCAACGCAGTGTCTCCAGTCGCCAAACTCGTCACATCTCTGGGTTGAGCCTGGACATCGCTTGGATGGATGATCGCACACAGCTCGCCATATGGCTGGCAGGGGCGATGTGATGGGGCAGTAGTGGGCAGCCAAGTATACTTCAATCCTGCGCTTAAATCCGACCACATTTTCATTCACCATCCCGCACCGATGGCCACCAACCCGCACGGCGATGAGGAAGCCCTCATCCAGCAGTGGATTGACAAAAGTGCCGTTACAGATACTAGGCGTGTACATAGAGGGCGGTGCTCGGCAGGCGTAGTCCGATTGCGGTGATTGAAGCTCGCGAGGAGCTCGGGTCTGCCTCGTACGGTCAGCGCTAGGGTTAGACTTCGTGCTGGTCTCTCTGATTGTCAGGGGTGCCTCCCTCCGGGGTCAGACAAGGCCATTCCGCGTTGCATGTTCCGCCGTTAAGAGTTCACGTGTCGCGCCGGCTTTACATAAAACAAGTTAAATAATTGATGTTTACGGTCATTGTTATTATTCCTATACACCGCACACCAGAGCGATGGCTCTTGCAGTAAAACACGACCGCGCGTGACCGTAATAAAACATAATACATGTTTAAACCGAGCAGAGATCAAAAGAAAAGCCATACATTAACTATTGGTGTGCACAATGACACAACCATGTAAAACAAATATTACGTTCGTGTTCGCATTTGCAGCTGGCAGGGTCAGCGCGCTGCGCTAACCCCTGCGCCACCGAACTCACGACACGAGTTAAATTCACGCTCACGACCAATAACAGCGGCGAATATCTGAACCGGTTCTGGGCCTCCCTTAGGTCGACTCAGCCTTAAAAAAGGAGGACCAGGTGATGCGTGCAAACAGCAGCACTGGCAGCGCTCGGGAGGCAAATAAAGCAGCCGGGCATGGTGCGGCGCACCCACCCCTTCATTGATGCAGCACTTGCCCCAACAGTCTGTAAAGGCTATACGGGGGATCTTTGTCTTTGCGCGCGTGTGTGTGCGTGCGTCCGCACTCCTCTGCCCGCGGCGGCTGTTTCGGCGCTGGCGCCGTGACCCCGCCACGCGCGCTCCACTTCCCCTCCCGCAACACTCGCGCAGTGCTCAGCGGTTCTCTGCCTGCGCGCCGCCGCCGCCGCCTCCTCATTGCATGGATATCCTGCAGCAGTAGCAGCAGCAGCTGGTGGTGGTGGTTGTGGCCACTACCAGCAACTTTCCATAGCGCTCTTGCCGACGCCGCTGCCGCTACTGTCGCTGCTACCGCTGCTATTACTGCCGCGTGCTGCTGGTGCTGCTGCTGCAGCTGCTGCTACTACTGCTGCTGCTGTTGCTTCTGTTGGAATTTACTACGAATCAAAGCGTCACGGGGGGAAACCCATGGCCGAGTCCGCTGCGGAGGCCGCCGCGGTGGCGTCTGGGTTTGTCTGCGTGCAGCACTCGCCCAACATGAGCACCTACAGGAAGGTGAGTGGGTGCGCGAGTGAGTAGTGCGCGCGTGCCTGAGTGAGTAGGCGAATGAGTGAGTGAGTACATCAGTGAATGGGCGAGTTAGTAACGCTAGCTGCGAGGAGGAGGGGGAGGAGGATGAGAGGACATGCAGCCCGGCTACGGGTAGCTCCCGCTCGGCTTGGTGGCCCGCGCGGAAAAAAATATGAGCCTGGGATTCCCCGCACGTCGCACGAGACGAGGCGTCTCGTGCTCGGTTCATTCTGCTCGCCTTTTGTTGTTGCTGCTGCCGCCCCACTTTGCGCTCGTGTCCCCTTGCTCTCGGTCACGTTCCCGACGATCGCGCCGCACTCGGCATGAATAAGAGAATGCGCGGCGCCACGCAGCAAGTTGCTGGTGGAAGAGCGGAGACCCCCACCCCCCCCCCCCACACACCCCACCTTTAGCGAGTCGCCTCGCGTCCGTGGCAGTGCAATGCGGCATTTGTGCGAGAGGCGACCGAAAGCTGAGACCCGGGGACCTGTAGCCCGCGACTTAGAACCCGACCGGGGAGTGGAGCAGGGGGGCAGGGGGGCAGGGGGGTCCTCGCAAGGCCCCCCCCCCCTCTACCTCTCTCTCTCCCACGCGGCCCGCTCAGCCTTTCGGAGCATCACTTGAAGCGACCCGTCAATGCCAGCGGCCATCAGTCACAATCAAAAGCCAATTCGTCGTAACCTTTAGCGTTCGCTACGCGAGCCCTTAAGAGCCGCGTGTCCGTGAGCGCCGCTGCTGCTGCTGCTCTGGGGGGGGGGGGGGGGGGGGGGGTCACAAGGGGCGAAATGAACGCCGCTTATGACGCGCGCACCCCCCCTCCCCCCCCGAACGGCCGCGACGTGGCCCCCGCCAGTCCCTTTCATTAATTTTTAACCTCATTATTATTTTTGGAGGCGACGGACGGGTTCGTTTGAAATGAGGCTTTTGGTTAAAGGGAGACGGGAAGTAGCACCTCCCCCCCTCCCCCCGAGGGATGGTGGTGTTGATGGTGGTTGTTGGTGGTGGTGGTTGTTGTTGGTGGTGGTGATGATGATGATGAACCCGCTGTGGTGTAGCAGAGAGCAACGACTCAAAACAGAAGCCCCCGATAACACGTGACGCGTTACCTGGTAGCTGTGTGAGCCGCACGTTACCCGGTAACCGTGAGTGTGCCCCACGCGTTACCCGGTAACTGTGAGTGCGCGTCACACGCTACCTCCCTCTACGGCCACATTTAACCTGGCATGTAGCCAGGTTAAATGTTGTCGGAACGCATTCTGCCGCCCAGACTGATTCACTGTCAGTGCAAGTGAACCGAGTTTATACGGCTTGGGTAAACCAAAACAGTGCTTCACGACCGAGTCTCAAAGTCGTCTTTACTTAAGGAGGAGGTCTGCATCGGAATGGAGCGCGTCCGGAGTAACCCCGGAGAAAGCCCCACGCATGCAAGAATTGTAAACGCGAAAACCTCAGCACAGCAGAGAGATTCAAGAATCAATTGCTAGCACTGCCAACTGATGGCCAGCTCGTAGCCCAGGTCCACAGCACGTGCCAGTTCCGAGGCACTCTCCCACCACAGCGGTGTGGCCGTCCACCCGACCACCGTCCAGACGTAACGCCGCAGAGTTTCCGAGACGCTGCAGAGAATTCGGGGCGCATTCGCTCAGGTACGCCTCGGTCAGCCGCAAGATCCACAGCGTTGTCGGTTCGTCCGCGTCGCAGCTGTCGCAGCGACGTCACAGTGGTGAGGTGACGTCGCCACTGTGACGTGGCATCACCACTGTGACGTCGGGTGAAACGTCACAGCCGCCGGCGTGAACCAAAAGTGATCGCGAGGGCTGACGATTTTAATCGACGTTACACAGAATCGGAATAATGTGTTGCATGCCGGAAGAATTCGAGGAGCTGTTAAGCTCTTTTTCGCAGATGTCCAGTCGAGCTGGGTATGAAGGTTACAACAACAATAAAAATATACATGATTGGAGTTCAAAGTATATACAAACGAAATTGAACAAATTAAATTGAACAATCCCCGTCTTACCAGGCAAAGCCCATTGAGGTATAAATTTATTTTTAACAGCTTATTTTCTAAATGATAGCTCAACAAAGTGGCTTATCATTTCGACCTTTATAGCAGCAAAATCATCTAAATAGTCTAAACGCGTGTTTAGACACACACATAGTAACCGACACCCATTACTGCACACACTTGTTAGAGCCTCCTAAAAACGAGTCTTGAGACTAACGGGTGAAGAATAATAATCATTTTAATGTCCTTACTTCCGCCATATCAATTAAAATCTCAAATTATGAATAATTTAGGAGAAATTGTTCGTAAAAACTCGTGGTTAGTTACGAATTTTGCACTTATTGCGCATTTCCAGCATTCATTCTACTGTAACACCACAATTGACACCTCTGGTCCAGATCATTTCATTCACATGCAGACGGTCACCCCATATAGATTGGTACCACGTTGGATGGTCAAAACTCTCGTCGTTAACTAATTACATTGCCAATAAAGATGGGGGGGGGGCAAAAAATATCACAACTCAATCACTTTCATTGACAACGTATAGTCGAACATCCGTGGTCTTCCGCAACTAACTATGGACGATGGAACTCGACGAGAACCCGCCACGTCTTCCTGACACCGCAGAACCCTCCCCGAACAAGAAGCTTCGAGACCTGTCGGGACCGTCACGACAAACTCGCGCCGGTGGTGGCGACCCGCGCCCGCCAGGCGCATGCACCGAGATCTCGAACTTCTCTCCCACCGTACCTAGAGACAAATCCCGTGCCAACGGGAGGCGGTGCTCTTGCCAAGATTCCACAGTGAAGGGGGCGCGGGGCGGTGGGTGGGTGGGTAGGTCTCTCGCGTCGGCTCTTGCCGATGGCGCGCGCGCCGCACCTCTTTGTCGCCTCCTCTTCGCCACGCCTCTTCGCCACTCCTCTTCGCCACGCCTCTTCGCCGCTCTTCTTCGCAACGCGGCTGTAGCACAGCCCCTACGATGCGTGGTCTCCAAGGTCCGCGGAGTCCCCCCGGGGTGTCTCTCGCCACGTGGATCTGTACAGTTCCCCGCTTGCACGCAAAAAATGCCATTGAATGTTTTGGGGATCGGAGAGGAAGCTCTTAGGGTGAAGCCTCTTGCGGAGTTTTTTTATTTAATTAAGGAGGCGTTGATGTCTGGAGAGCTCATTAGTGAACAACTAAATGCTATATCTATTATAAAATCCCGGAGTTCCGTTTGTCCTTCAACTATATTGTAAGAGCCTTACAGAAGGCCTGAATCAAAAAAGATATATAAGGTGGGACCCCCCCCCACCCCCCAAAAGTGGCAGTAAAACGTTGATCCAACAGTGTGCCACTCCCCCAGCCCCTACATACAATAGAGTCCGGATTTATTTTGTAGGCAGGGGCTAGAATAAGGCGGTCGTAAGCCGCTGAAATTTTAGTATTTAAAAAATAATGCACAAGTCATCGCGTTGTTTCGTACTCCCGCATACATTGTTAATGGGTTTAGGGTCTTATAAAACTGCTCTCTCATCTGGGCTCGGTTTTATGAGCAGTGAAACGCCACAAGTTGTGAGAAAAACGTAAAATATTAATGTAGTTCCATATTGCACGCAGACACACGCTCACGGGTATAAACACACGCATACACCCATGAACTCACTCAAATACACACATATACACAAAGATGCCCCGTATAGCTTCAACAGACCGTTGGGGCAAGTGCTGTTATCGAGTAGCACCCATTACGGCGGGCACTGACTGCACACGAGGGTGAGTGTCTAGCCACAAAGCCCGACACACCACCCTTCGTCTCGCTATGAAGAAGGGCCATTACCCGAAACGTCGCCTATATTATTTAGATAGGTCGGCAAACCAAATAATAGTTTTTTCCCACTTTTTTCTGGCAACAAAACTGAAACCTTTTCACGAGGAATCATGTTCACATTAAGCACAATACCTGCGGTCAGAATGCAAACAAAAAACACTCTGATAATGTGATGCATTGCCCTTGAAATTGTTTGCATTCTGACCGCAGGTATTGTGGTTAATGTAAACATGATTCCTCGTAAAAATCGGCAAACCTACTTTCTATGCTACATTGTGTCCGCGTGAGGAGGGGGGGGAGATTTTAGACGAGAAAGCACGCGGCCTGTGAGTCACCCCACCCCGCCCCTCTATGCCCCCCCCCTCCCCGTACTGTCGGCTCTGAAGTCGCTCGCGTTTGAGATACGATGCCCACCCCTGACCCGGTAGGATTTTTTGCCGACATCTGAAGAGGCGACTCCACCACCCCCACCCCTCCTCCATCTCTTCCACCTCGCACTCAGAACCCCTTCCTCGCTCGATCCCGACACGGAGCATCCTGCAATGCGCCCGCGCCGTGCTTCGGCAGGCTGACGGCGAGGGCGATTCGGCGCATCCTCCCTCCGCCTTGCGAGATTCTCCGCGATAATTGCACGCGGGAGGAAGGAGGAGGAGAGGGGCCGACGATGCGGGCGGCGACGAGAAGGAAACTGCCACCATTTGGACGCAAGTTGTTGTTGTTGTTATTGTTCGGAAGCAATGGAAGGAGCCGGTAAGGGAGGAAGGACCTCACGGAGAATGGCTTGAAGACGGCGACGACTTAAGAGATTGGCGGCGGACAGATGTCGCACTACTCGAGCGCAAGGCAGAGGGAAGGTGGAAACAAATGACGAAGTTCTTTCGGTAAAGTCACGTAGGTATAAAATAAAATAACCAAAGAGTATGGATTCCTGCAGTCACGAAAGCTTCAAATCAAGATTACATGACGAAGTGTGACAGCGGCGGACACCTTCGCGGCTATCTGCCCACGGATTGTGACGACGTTGAATCGCTCTTCGGACACTCGCTCGCTCAGCCATCGCGCGCGCACTCGGCTCACTCTTCTGTGTCCAGCGTGCGGTGATTGACCCCCCCCCCCCCCCCCCCCCCCCTCCTCCACCCCCCCCCCCCCCCCCCCCGTGTCTCT